AGTTTTGCAGAAAAAAAGGATGTTCTGTTTTAGACTGGAGTGGACCTACCCAGCTGGAAATGCACTGATCTTGAAAGTGAATGGGGAAATGAGCAAGTGTGGCAAAAGATGAAAGAGAATAAAGTGGTAACAGCAAGCAACTTAGAGCATCTCTTGCTCCAAGAAGGATCTGTAGGTACTGTAACAGTGTCCTTAAAGCAGTTGTTACACAAAGGTTTCCTTTCCGTCTGGGGTGTGAGTAGATTGCCAGCTGGGGCACGGAGGCAAGGAGACAGCATGGGCACAAGTGGTGGTCTCTGGACATGGCTTGGGAAACGAGCGCTTGGAGACGGAGCGGCCGGTGAGGAGGTGAAGGCTGATGAGGGAGCAGTGATCACCCTTGGGAAGAGAACTACCTCTTAGCCGTTCGGATGGAGTTAAAATTGGAGGCAGTTAGACCTAGAATCAGGGGTGTACTCGGTTCTCTCTAAACCTTGCTTTCATATGATTACTTATGGTGAGCATGAGGAACATGTACTGAGAAGCTGGTTGTATGCGCCATGAAAGAGAATTAAAAAAAAAAAACCCACACAAAAAAAGCTTAATTGCAGCTCTGCTGCTGTACGTGTGTCTATTTACATTCTTCCCTTGAACTGAATTCACTGGAAGCCTGTGAACAAAATGGTAAAGCACAATGAACGCAGCTTTCGCGCTAAAGTCTCTCCAGAGGTGAGACTGCGTTCCCTTCAAGCCCATCAAACGTTCAAGCAGGCAACATGCGACTGTAATGACAGTGATCACCTGCAAATTGGGCGTATTCATAAAATGAGGAAAACAAACCCAGAAGAGGCTGAACGGAACATGAGACCAGGCTCAGCAGGTCAGGAAGGAGGGTCGAAGGGGCAAAGAAGAATCAGAAAAATCTTCGGACCCTTTTTGCCTGAGAAAAGTTTCGTTTTCGGAGCTGTAGCTGAAGAACGTGCATAGATCTCTCGATTCTGTGATGGACCTGAGCGCACTTTAGCCGCTGGCGTGTAACGCCCAGCGGGAGGAAGCTGCATAGGAGCAGCCGTCGTCGTAGTCTCGTGCCCCCGAGCGACACGTTTCTCTTTGCCTGGAGCGACGGCGGAGAGAGACGTGGGAGGCAGCAGCAAGTTCGCCAGCGCTGGCGTTAGCCCTGGGCCAGCAGCATGTCTTAAATTCCTCTGCTGCAAACGCGCGTTCGCCTTTGCCTTTGCTTGCGGCCCCCG